TTTAGGCTTGAAATTAGACGAAGGTTTCTAACCATCAGAGAGGTGAAATTTTGGAACTGCCTTCCGAGGGAAACGGTGGGGGCGAAAGACCTCTCTGGCTTCAAGATTAGGCTAGATAAGTTTATGGAGGGAATGGTTTAATGGGATAACGTGATTTTAGTCAATTAAGTAATAAAGTGCCATCACTGGTAAAATGTGGGTCTGGCTAGAGAATCTTGCCTGTATGCTCGGGGTTCTACTGATCGCCATATTTGGGGTCGGGAAGGAATTTTCCTCCAGGGTAGATTGGCAGAGGCCCTGGAGGTTTTTCGCCTTCCTCCGCAGCATTGGGCAGGGGTCGCAAGCTGGAGGATTCTCTGCGACTTGAAGTCTTTAAATCACGATCTGGAGACTTCAACAGCTGAGTTAAGGGAAAGTGGGTGGGTCAGCTTTTGTGGCCTGCATCATGCGGGAGGTCAGACTAGATGACCATAATGGTCCCTTCTGACCTTTAAGTCTATGAGTCTATGATAATTCAGCATTTAACATTAGACAAGTTAGGGCTTGTATCAATTTAGTCATAGCAGACTATGCTGAGACCTAACATCCAGCTGTAGTAAATGAAGTATTATTACTGAAATGTGCATATAGAAAAAGGTAGAAAAACCATTTGTTACTTACTATGAGATACCTGAAGTTGCCCATGTACTAACCTGCATAGCTGCCTACTGGTACCTCAGTGGACACATCTGATGAATGGTAATATCAAACTCTCTACAAGCAGAATAAAGTTAATTGCCACGGGTGGAAGACAAGCTTTTTCAGGGGTAGTCTGAGACTGTGGAATGAACTTCCCCAAGAACTAAGGACCATCACAAACTTCACCACTTCCTGCTCCAAGTGCAAAGCGCATTTCTTTGACCATGTCTTCTCTAACATAAGCACATAGCAACATGTTTATTTAAAACAAACAAAAAAACACAAAAACATCCTACCAAAACAAGACACTCCATTGCACATGCTTGCTGGAGAGAAATTGAGAACAACAAACATGACAGATGTTAGTAATGTCTCTTAATGCACTATGGGAAGGTGCTCAAATGCTACAGTAATGAGCACAGTATAAGATTGTGTATAGAATAAAAGAGACAATCCTCTTTCCTTAATTAGAAAACTATCAGAGGTTCCAGTATCTGATCTGCAAATACATTAATCTTTCAGAAAATCTTTCTGATGTTGAAGGCAACTGAAAACATTCCCCTGCTCCATCTTGGTTTTTTTTCCCTTTCACATTTAATGGATATAGTAATGATGATACTGTATTTTAGTCTGAAAAAGATGTTAGATCTATTTACTAAGTAATTCTGAATCATCTGCAGTTTGCATATGAGAATTTTTCACTACTTTCACTAAGTTCATTAATTAAATTTGTTATATTTCATTTTGCAAGACTTTTAACCTTACGTTTTCCAAGCTGTAGCATAACATCTGACTATTTTAGTGGGAGTTGGTCAACAAAAACTCTTCAAATGTAGGTGTTAGAGTTCAAATTAGAGTTCATAATAGTAGCTTGTGATGATCTGGGGAATCTGTGTACAACTTATGAATTCCGGTTAGTTTTATGAAATTGTTGTATCACTCAATCATCAATGTGCAGTGAGTCAACCAGGAGCTGACAGCATCCCTGATGTGTATTATCCCTGCATGTTTCGAAGAAGCTATAGAACAAAAAAAGATGTTGATCTTAAGGGCTCCAGCTGAACAGTGCTAAGGAGGGTGCCTGAGCTGGGAGAACAGTTCTACCCAGATGTTCTGACGGAAAGGGAGAATGGAAAATCCCCAAAATGCAGCTTCCACGGGCCTGGGAGTGGGTGTGAAGAACTCTAGGAGGGGTAGAGGGGGGAGGGGCTGAACTGATGGCTGTGGAGGAGAACTGGAGGGGGCAGAGGATGGGCAGATATGAGAGACATGAGAGAGTGCTTCTACCGCAGGGGCCAAAATCACTTTACCCAATAAATGTAGGAGTGAGTAGCGCTCTCTCTCACTCACACACACTCTTTCTCTCTCTCAAAAAATCAAGAGAGACCAAAAAGCACAATACAGTGGGTTTTTTTTTAAATCTCATGGTGTTTTTTGGGATCCAATTCATGAGTTTTGATCTCTTGAGGCAACATGGGGGACCCAGACACAAAGGAAGTTTGGGCAGGAGAGAGGAATAGAGGGGCCTGTTTTGTAGCAACAGGGCAATTTTTAACTATGAAACCGAGGAAGAAAGAGGTGGCCTGCAGAAGAGAGAGGCTCCATGATTTGGAGGAGAAGGTATGTGCATGTGGGGATCTGGACTCCTTTGTGGCTCTGACCTAAACCTGAAGAATGTTCAAGTGTGAAGAGGAACCTGAGGGAGGAAAATGTGTCCAGGTGATTTATTGTTTGTCTAGATCTGGCTTTAGAATATTCTGCAGAGCCTGTGTATCTGCTTACTTTCACTACTGCATGCCCCTGAAGGGATAAACTGTAAAGCCAGAGTACTCACAAGGTGGAATGCTGGGAAAGGTGTGCATATGCAACTGGGGTTTCTATGGGGGGTCAGCACTGGACTGGGGGTATAAGGCAGCTGGACCATGAGGTCCCATTTCTGTGAAAAGGTATCAGAGAGTTAATGCCAAGGAAGTTTTATCTTAGGCTGCTTTCTAGATATATATTTTTCTTATTAAAGAAACTAAATCCTGACTTCCCTTTGTTCCTGATTAAAGCCTGGATTGTCCTGTGGGGATCTGTACACAGAGAGGGTCCTCTGAGTGAGAGTGCTCATGGAGAAGGGGATATTAGCCAGAAGCACAACACTTTTGAACTTAAAAATTCTAAAAGAACAAAGTATTATTAAAGCATTTTTATTAATATGCAAACAGTAATTAACTGGGTTTTTCTGTAATTCATTATTATTTTTCTTTTCTAATGTCAGATTAGAGCAAACCTAAATAACATAGGTTTCTGAGCTCGCTTTCACTTCTTTCCCCAATGTTCATGTTTTGAGAAAGAAAACTTCTTTTTATTAAGTTGTCTATTTAGGAATAATGTTCAGAATGTCTTCCAAAGAGATTTGAATAGACAGGCATAAATAAAATGTCACTCTCCTCTCTTAAGTCCAGATTCAAAGCCCACTGAAGTCAATAGGATTCTTTCTAATAGTACCCAGAGGATACCTATTGTCAAGTATGGTGATACATGCAGTCCTTGCCCAGTACAAAGAGTTATGCAAAACTGATCACAGTATAGGGGGCTTGATGGGCTGCTTAGCAGTGCAACGTCATTTAAATACTCTTGCATTCTTTTTCTTTCATGCAGGACACAAATGCTTCCAATTATGGCCTTTTGCAGGTTGCACTGAGATCAGGTCATTGCCACTTACAAGAATTGCAATATCTAAGTTTTCAGTGGCAAGAGCTAAAATCCATCTAAGGAAAAAAGAAACATACTGGGGTGTGATATCAACAGAAAAAAAATAGAAACTGCATTACTAGAAATTAGCATTTATTATATAGGAAAACTTTTTAAAAATCAACCCAATCCTCACAGTGTACTGGTTTACACCTGACTGTAGGCTTAATTTCTTCTGTCCAGAATAAGCTATTGAAGGAAGAGACTTTTTCTGCAGGATTTTGTCGTCTTTGTCAGTTCTACAATTCAGATACCAAGATATGAAGTAAATTCTTAAAAAGAAGAAACGTGATCTGAAACAAACAAACAAAATTTTTTTATAAAAAATACTGAGCTCTGAGAGCTAAGTTCTCCTCAGACGTACATGTGCATCTGGTGACTTCAGAGGGAGTTCTGCACAAGTCTCTGAGGTAAGAATTTGGCCCTGAATTTGTGTGCAGTACAATAATTTTAATTAGATGTAATCTGAGGGGAAAGTTTGTGCATGATACACATTTTTAGCATGAGAAGAGATGGAAATGCAATATCCACCATCTATCACACTTGTAGCTCATTGACTGTACATATTTTAAAAAGGAAAGAAGTGATCATCAAACACCACAATACTTTGTGCATTCTAATTGAAATGTTCAGTGAGTCTCTAATCTCAATTTTTTTTATGTTTAATTGTATAAAAAAACCCACTTAACGTTTTTCCTAAATTTCAAAGTTCTTCCATCAGAACTGACTCTGGGTACGTGTAAAACATAGTTTTCAAAGCCAGTACATGTATATTAAACAACACAGCTCACAATAATTCCTTTGTCAACAGCTTGAGAAAGGAGATGGCCTTTGCGTTTGGATCTGGGGGTTAACAAACTCAGTCTTTGCCAGACCAGTAGAGTAAGCAAACTAAAATATGCACCAACTCCCGCTCTCAACTTGACTCAAACAACTTGTCAGTGAATAAATGGCTATCTTTAATTAAACATACTATGGACTCTTTATTTTAAGTCAATGGAAATAATCATATGTGAACGAGGCAAGCAAGATTTGGGGCAAAATTCTCAAAAACACTTAATGACTTAGGCACCTAAGTCCCATTGGTTTTCAAGTCGGTTTGGTGCTTTTGAGAATCTTACCTTGTCCCTATATTACTGCAGATTTGGAGTGGAATAATCATGTAGGCTAGGTTCAAATGAGGCCTCACTGTTTACTTACTCCACTGGCTAACTACTGTAGCCACTAAAAAAGGCCATAGGTGTAACAAAATTCCTCCAGACTATTAAAGTCCAGATGGGACGCTCTAATGATGCCACACTTCAGCCTAATGTCTTCTTCAATGATAATACAACATTACATCAACATGTTTCATTGTGAATACCATGCACTGACAAAATCCATCAAAATCACCCAGTTTTGGGTCAATGAACAGGATCTGCTAAGATATCCCTCTCAATGTCATTCACAGAGATTTTAAAGGGAGAGGGAACCCTTTATGATCATCTAACCTGACTTCCTGTATAACATGGGCCAAAGAGCCTCACCCAATAATTTCTGCATCAAACCCACACTTTCTGTTTGAGCTAGAGTATAGTATTACATGCAAACAGTAAGGACATTATTTACTGTTCATGTTCTTAAAACATCAATATTTCAGCTGTATTTTTGACATACCAAAAATGATCAGACCATAAATGTTCAAGTTAAAAAAGATATTGGGAACAGAAAACAGCATTCAAACTAGAAGAGAAATATTTATTTCTTTTCTTCTAACTTACAACTAGCCAGAGAATCCCACTGAATTCTAGCTGGATTAAAAAAAAAAATAGTGCTGTTTGTATGAGCATTTTGGAGCTAAATTAGGAGTTCCTCAGAAGTGGGAATTTAAAATTAATGTTAAATGTATGTAAAGAGAAACTGTAGAATCAAGGTTAACTTCAGAACCATAAATAGAATTCCTAATTATCAGTCTTTCATCTCATGAAGTTTATGTTTATATTGTATTGTGGCAAGTGTTTTAAACTAGAATACTGTTCAAAATAAAGAATAAAATCAAAAGCTTCCTTAAGATTCAAATGTGTGTACCTGGGATTATGAAGCTGAAGGCTTTGAGTTTTCCTGTCCATTAGATCCAAAATTTGCTTCGCATTCCTTGCAGGTATGATGACAGGGCCTAAAATCAGGAGGAAAATAGAGCATTCAAGATTTTTGCTCATATTTCTCTAACACAGCTGTCATCTTTGTGTCGTATATTGGTAAGTATTCTTTTAGAAGGAATTTGTTGAACAGGCTTTATAGAAGGAATCTCTTGTTGTTTTCCATTCATCCGATTTACGTTCTTCAGTCCTTCCAGATGTCTTATGGTATGGGATGATGTCTGAATGTCCCAGCAAAACAACCTTATTATTCTTATGTATTGTTTGTTTTCAGTAGTGCCCAAAATATAGTAGAGCTTTCCAAGCAGGAAAAGGAAGCATGATCCCTGAAAATAGGAACTCACAATCTAGACAAGACCAGTGGGTAAAGGCAAGGGTTACCAAGATATAGATGGCCAATTGGCCACATCTTTGTAATACAGTGTTGTATTAACACAATAGGCTTTTTTGGGGGGAAGCGGGGGTTTAAGTGGGGGAGGGAAGATTTTATTAAAAAAATATTGGTTTACGATTTTTAAATTATTTCAAAATACCCTTCCAATTTCCCATTATCAGTCAGCTAATTTACATAGGCATCACAGCACAAATGAGCTTTCAGAAGGGATTTTACTACAGAGAGGTGGCCTTGTGGATGAGCTTTTGGAAATGCATTTCCTATGCGAGGAGCAGTGTAGTACACATGGACAAATTGAGGGAGATATCATTGGCTCAGGGGAGGAGGTGGGAGTTAATACAAAATGAGATGTGGGTGAGAGCAGCATTTGGCTTTGAAGGCAGTGACAACAAACTTGAACTTGATGTGTTGGACGGGGGAGCAAGTAGAGAGATTCAAAAGAGGGGATGACATGGTCTGAGGTAAGGAAAATGATCTTAGCAGCTGCATTTTGTATGGATTGGAGACAGGATGGGTGTTCAGGAAGCTAGAGAAGAGGAGGCTGCATTGATTATGGCAGAGAATGATGAATTGTAGGGATATGAAGATGTGGTCCAGGAAAAAGCTGCAGGATTTGGATACATACATCTTGGACGTATGGAACAAAGGAGAATTCAAAGGTGAGTTACAGGCCAGACGGATGGGATAGATGGTGTGATATTTAATGGCACCAGACAGAAGGTAAATTGCTAACTGTTGATCTTTTATAATTAGTTAGTATATAGAGAGGCTGAGGATTTAATCCTTTAAATTACAGGATTATTTATGTCTTCCAAACAATGCAGATTACATTGAATTTAATTTGTATCTTTCTAATAATTACCACATAATCTGGAACGACATAACTGCAATATATATCCTTAGGTATAGCATTCAAGAGTGCCCTATGAGCTGAAGCAAAAGGTTTAAATGTATGCTGTAGCTGCCTCTCTCTCTCATTCTATTTTCAATAACTATGTTTTGATCTAAGATTAAGTGATCTATATTCAAGACAAACCTTTTATATTCTGGACCAAATGGCTGAACTCCTATACTCTGGAACTTTCTCTGGCATACTCGTATGTATGACATCGTCCCAATGGCAAGACCAAAGGCACCAGCAACTGTACAAACAGATCACAAAATATTGTTAATTCAAGAGTCTAACTCAAGATAATATTATTTGTCCTTTGTACAGTAAATTGCACTTATGTAGGACTTTTTCATCCCAAAGTACTTTATAAACATATACAAAGATTATACTGTAATAGTGGTAAGTTCTCTTATCACTGAAATGCAACCATCTGTGGAGTGAAACACTGCAGCTGGTTAAGAATACACAGCAACACGGCATAACAGTTTAGATGTAAAAAAGAATACTACATATACTTGGAATTTCAGGGGGAATTTAGATGAGGAGTGTAATAATAGCCCATGGTGAAATTTGACAAAGACATAAGAGTTGACTCCCCCTACCTTTGCAAAATGCCCCATGTTTTTTTTTTATTATAAATAGCTAGGACTTCAGTTTAAGTCTTGTCTTCCTATGGCAAAGGCTTCCTTAATACCACTGGTCTCTGGTTCAGTACTCATTCAAAAAGAAAAACTAATTCTGGCAACACGTTGAATTTTCTGTGGAGGTCTCACATCCAAGTATACACCAAATGAAACCTGCTTCGCTTTTGAAAACAGATGAGATTACGTCATTTAAATGGCGTGGTTGCATTATGTAAATGCAATACAAAACAATTTCTGTGCAAACAATTTTTTTAACAAAATGTTCCAAAGTTAGACACGGAGGATACATTGAATTTGTATTATTATTTCTTTATTTGAGCAGTTACATTGCTGTAATACTTAGAGAATTTAACCATGTTGAGAACGTGTTATGGTAGTCATATGGTATTGCCAGGGCCTTACTGCTGTACATTATGTAATAAACGACAGTACCTGCCCCACAAAAGTTTATCATCTAAAAGACTAGACATAACAGGCAGATAAAATAAGCAAGGTCGTGAGAGCAGGGAGAGAACATGGGAACAAAAGTGTAGGATATTGTAGCATAGATTAGCTATGTCCACAATCAGCAGTCCAAACTCACCATTGGCCTACCCATGATCAGATGGCAGAATTCTGTGTGCATTATGGCAAGATGACAGTTAATGAGGCTAAGGTGGGGAGGTACAGATTTTGATTGGAAGTTTTTCCCACAAGAAAGAGGTGGCATGGGAGAGGTGCTTGTGGAAGAAGCAGACAAGCAGACCATTGAGAATGGTGTTATTGACAGAACCATGGTGAGGGTTGACCTTGCAATAATATAATAATTCAGATAGGACAATTAAAAATTGAATATATACTCTTACTGAAAAAGTCTTCATTAAACAAGCTTTACTTAATAAATTAGTTTGTAAACTTAGTAAGAATCCAATTTACCTAGACTGCTATACTGACACCTTATGGGTTCAGATAAGCAGAAGTTTGGATAATTGACATTCACTAAAACAGGGAGACACACAGTTAGCTCACAAAGGAAGTCTGTATAGTGGAGGTTTGGAAAGTTCAGATTCTACTGTTAATAAATATCCCCCAACCTTTTCTTTCCTTTTAAAATAAAAGTACTGACTTACATGCAATTTTAGGTAATGATCCAAATCTTGGGTTCGATGAGAGCAAGCCTAAAATAAAACGCAATCGTTAAGAATGCCTATCCACTTGAGAAACTCATCATCATCTAACAACATAAGTGGTCTTTTTCTAACAAGCTTTTCTCATTTCTCAGAGCAAGGGCTATACAATACTTAAAAGTATGGTAGCTTTGATTTAGGAAAATACACCATTCCCAAAGCATTCTGGTAATTTCCAATGCAATAATTTGTGTGGTGGCACACAAGTATTAGGGAAAAATATTTTGTGCTGCCATGTGGGGGATAGGAGTCCAGGTCTCTTGTTCAATTTCTTCCTCTTTGGGTCAGCACAAGCTGGGAGATAGCTCCTAGGACCTTTTTTGCCAATGATCAGCCTAGTGTTAACTGTCACCAGATAGAGTCATGTTTATCCTCTTTAATAGGAATGGAGGAGTCACTCTGACATTTGGACTTTTGAGGAGAGAAGATGTAGTTCATGAACAGAGGAGAAAATGGAAAGATTCTCACCCTTCTCCACCAAAATTCCCCCTCTCCTCAAATTGACTAATATGACAATAGTGACTTGTTTCTGATCTCAATTTTGTAGCAGCATGTCATCATGTATTGGTATCTGTGGATGCCCAGCTGACACCATGAGACAGCAAATCAAAATGCAGCATAAGAATTTTTCCACATAATCCTCCAAATGCCTGTGGATCCCTCCAATTTTCCTGTTTACATCCCCTTCACACATGAGCTCACAAGTTGCAACCACCATTCTGGACATTGTATAGAACCTGTTAAAAATACCCAGGCAGGATGACTGACCACAACTGTGTGATGTGACTGCCATATCTAATCTCAGCCAATAAAAGGAGCAGGGGTCAGAATGAGCCAGTCTGCTGTATTTTGTACCAGAACTTGTCTGGTGACCCATCCATTTCTGCAGAATTTAAACAGACAGAATGTGACAGTAGCTCTGAGGGCTACATGATGACCCCCTTCAGTGAGACGGAAGACCCTAAGCAGTGGAACCACTGTGTTTCTGGGGTGGGATGTCAGTGGGAGGCAGGGTAGGGAAGGGAAGTAGGGGTGACAGTGCCAGGCAATGCAGGCAAATTCCACACAGAAGAGTTTGGTGGCAGAGGGAGCATAGAGTGGTGGCCAGTAGATCCACCACTGTAGATTCACATAATGTAGAGGATGCACAGAAGTCCCAGCTTCTTCTAAAGCCAATGAGCAGTAGTATACACAGTGGGGAGGCCATGCAACCACTCTATGCCAAGTGTTAGATTGTGGGGAGGAGGATTTATTTTCCCCTCACCCCTATTAGGTCCTCCGTGCAAAGCCCATTTATTTTCACTTTGGCCAGGTGTTCAGCAGTTGTTTCTAAAAGAGGTGCAAGATGCCCCATTCATCTCAAATAAGTCAAGGCACAATAATGACCATTTAAAATTGGCATTCTTAATTACTTCACTGATGATCATTTTAGCATAAATATCCAGGTACTATGGAAATGTGGGGAGAGTTATCTGCCAAGGGGTGAGAAACCCAGAAAGTAGTTTGCATCTCCTCCATGGGCATGCAGAGTGCAACCAGACTGATTCACTACAGAAATGTAACGTGATACTCCTCTGTACAGATTACACAGCAGCTGTATAAGATCTCCCTGCCCTCCCATTTGGCCAGTATCTCGTTGCATCGAGCCACTATGTGTGTTGGCATACAGTCATAAAAACACTGCCGATGCTTTCTAGACACCAGAATTTAGAGCTACAATGCCAGATTCTGATACCCTGACTTACATAGACTAGTACCCTATTTCACAAGTAGTCCCAATGAGGTCAGTGATGCTTCTTGATTACAGAATGTAAGCGTGAAAGATTCAGGCCCCTCGTATTTGGAAGGGTCTGAATTCAAAAGGAAATACAGTAAAAGCTTTGTTATCTGGCATGTTGGGGGAATGGTGGGTGCCGGCTAATCAAATATTCCGGTTAACTGAGAGTTATACTTTACCAATGGAATACCAATTTTCAAATAATTAGAATACAATAAAATGAATAAAAGACAAAATACAGTAGTACAGTATACAGGTATTCACCAATGCAGTAGCAGTACTGCACTGCAGAGTGGTTGGTTTCTTGAAGCACTTAGGTGTATACAGGTAACCTACTGTATAGAAAACTTTATCTTTTGACACTACATATCACTATGGGCAGCACCTGATGTACACCCAGATCACTAAAAATACACTTACCACTAAAACTATATTGAACATAAGTTAATCTTTCTTTGATGATTTACAAGACACTTCAGGCTCTTGCAGTGCCTCAGGGTCATCATTATCAACATCAATTATCATTGTAGATATAGACGCTGTAATAGATTGGGCTGAATCTGTAATGACCCTATGACACACCCTGGAAGTTGCTTTTTTGAATAAATTCCTGATATCAGCTTGCTTACTTGTCTTCTGCTTCTTTTGCATAAAAGTAGAGTGCAGAATGTGCAATTGCATAACCTCCTGGGCAGTATACTAGTCCCTGTTACTAGACTGAAGATTTTATTGGGAGAGATCAGAAATGCCGGATAATAGAGCTTTCTGGTTGATAAAGTGCCAGATAATACAGCTTTTACTGCATACAGAATGAGGTGTGGCAATGCATAGTTAATTATCAAATCATTATAACAGTGATGGCACTGAGTGGGAAGAACATTCAAATATGAAAAGCAGCAAGCTCTGGGGAAATTCTGATTTAGTGCTGATTCCTGATCAATATGACTTGGGTTCATTTCTAATATAAATAAAATGATACATGTATATCTTCCATTTACCATTGTAAATTAGCCCTTGAGTGATGAGCATGCTTCCTAGCGACAAGGGAAGACCTGAAAAAAACAAACAAACAAAAAAATTCAGCACTTTGCTCACTACTGCTGACTGGCTGAGAATTATGTGCATCTTTTTTGAATTTATTATCCTATCTTCTCCACCCCAGCTTGCTTGTCTCATTCACCTATTACACTTGCTCTTAGACTGTAAGCTCTTTGGGGCAATGACAGTCATTTATTATGTTTGTACAGCACCTACCACAATGGAGCCCAACCTGGTTGTGACCTTTTCGTGCTACTGAAATATAAATAATAACAAAAACTTGCATGACCATAGTAGTATATCCCCTCAAGACAGCAAAACTAAAATGTATCTGACCTTGATAGAAATTTGATTAAATGATGAAACCCTTAGAAGCTTTTCAAATCTTTTCCTTTCAGAATGTCCACATTTAGAGTTGCCATCTGGCCAGCTTTATGCTCACTCTGCAATGAGTTTTGTTTTTGTTGTTGAAACTAAATAGAAAACTTGTTATTTCTTGAAAAAATTCAAAATCAAGATCATATATGTGAAAGAAAATGAAAAGCGTCTCTTGGGTGAGAGTAATAATAGATTTCAAAAATAGTGACATCAGCTAATAATAATGGTTAACTATTGACAATTAAGGGTACAATTCTGCCACTTTTACTTACA